AAAGCAGTAATAATTCGGAAAAATTTGAAAGCATAATAAATGAAAGCGTGGAAGCATAGAAAGTGCACGGTATCGAAATAATTTAAAGTGCAAAACATTAAACGTTCGCGAAACAATGTTTCGTATAAAAATGCTACATATGGGCAAGGAACCGTGACGATCTCGTTAAAAAGTTATAACGACGCTAAAGTTGGTCACCAGATTGTGTCAAATACTCAAACTCTCTTGTACTTCAACGGACAATTCCATTATATAGAGTACATAACTTGACGCATTGTAAGTGTACTATTATACTCTGTTTTCAAATTGAGTTACATGAGTTGTAAGTGCAAAATTTGTAAAAATCTTCTTAATTGTATATTTAATATATAAGGGAGATTTTTACAAATTTCGCATTTACAACTCAATATGATTAAATGCTTCTTAACTGTATATTTAAATTTGTAAAAATCAAGCTTTTTAACGTGAAAAATTCACATAAATTTAATATCTAATAAATATTTATACGCATATTAGTTTTTCGCTTTGTAACAATCTTCCAAAATAAAAATACATTCTATTTATTCAAAGATAACATAAGTCTGTCAATTAAAATTTATATAGATACATATAGATAAACATATTAAGATCAATGACAAAAATTGACACGTATGTAGAAGAGGAAATATATTAAGAACATCACAAAACATATTTTTACCACAGCAGATAAATTATAATATAATATAATTTGTCCCTAAAAGAAAATGATTGGTTCCTGCTTTTGATTCTTATGGATTTAAATGTGTATCAATCAATCATATTGAAATATAAATCAATCATATTGAAAAATTTTATAACAGTTGTAAAGCTGTTTTCTCTGCTGAGCGCAGCCATTGATTTATAGTTATGTGTATGTATATACAATCCTCCAGGGAAGGTCCATATATCCTTTAAACATCCTAAGGACATCTCCAGAATGTATCTCGGATAAATGTGCTATTATATATGTATGATGTAACTATAATTTGCCTTAATTTAAATAACAATAAATAAGTAATTACGAAATAAATGATATGTAAGGAAAAATATGTGCAAGATTTAATATATAACAATGTATTGTAATTTTTGCAACTGAGAGAGAGAGAGAGAGAGACAGATATTCATTACATATATATTGAATATATCAAATTTATAATAATGAACAAAATATTGTATTTACCCCAGCGTAGTCATCGTTACGATGGTGTACCAGAAGGCGGAAGGTATCGAGGTAAAGTTGGTACCGTCGACGTTCTTTTCCGCGTAGAACATGACGGTAGCGAAGATAATGATAGCCATCGCGAGCGAGAACACGAGAAAACCCAACTCGGAAGCGCAGGACTTTAGAGTGTAACCCAGAATACGTAATCCCTGCGAGTGGCGTGAAAATTTGAAGATACGGAACACGCGAAACACGCGTAGCGTCACGAATGCACCCGACACGTCATCATTGTCGGTGATTCCAAGTCCGATGTAATACGGCAGTATCGCGACCACATCAATTATCGACATCACAGAGCGCGCGAATTTGCATCGGCTGGGAGCGGCGAACAGCCTGAGCAGGTATTCGGCCGTGAAAATCATTACGCACGCTGTGTCCAGGCAGAAGAATACGATCTTGTAACGCTCGCCGCATGAAAGAGTGCCGGCACGGCCCGGACGATTGCCACACGGCACAGTCTCCACCACGTTCGCAAGCACGCTCACAGCGATAAAGAATCCAGTGACATAGTAGAATACCAACGCGGCAGTAGAAATGTGCGGATTCTGGAAGGCCCGCCACATCTTCTGCCGAATGTCGAGCAGCTGCTGGAGGTTTTGGTCACCATTCTCGCTCAACTTATCGTCCATCAGCCGTTCGGCGTTCTCGCGTTTGCGATCTCTATAGTCCTCATAACAACAATCGCCAATCACATCCGGTAAGATACCGAAGAATGCAAGTTCCTCATCGTAGCTCGTCAGGCACTCGTGCTTCGGATAATGTAGCTTGCCAGTTCTATAATAATTGAGAATGTGCCGGAAGATGTCTGGATCCCGGTCGAAAAAGTACTCCTTGCTCTCCTCGTCGTAGAAGAATTCACGTTCATTCGAACCGAGTAGCGTGTCTGGATATTTCTCCAGGGTGTTGCGCCACGTCTCGAAGCGACGGCCGCTCACGTTGATCAGCAGCTTCTCGTCGTCGGCCTTGCGCCGATCTTTCGGGATCGGCGGCGGTGGCAGTGGGTGTGTGGCGATCGGTACCCAACCGATCGCCGCCGCACGGGCGAATGGCAGCCACGCTGCCACCGAGGCCATACTTGAAGGTGGAATCTTCCTTCAGGGTAGCGGGAGAGCCAGCGTTTACCGTACCCGAAGCGTCGGCAACTCTACTCCTGACACGTCAAATCGATTCTCACAAACCTTGGCGATCTAGGTACGTAACAAGTCTAACATCGATGATCCGCCCCGTATCAATCACTTACGGTAAATACTTGCTTTGATGATGGATAAGATCCTTGAATCATATAAAGCGTTTTTTCTTTTTTGCCAATTCGAATATTTACGAACTGAAATTTGTGACACCGCTCGTCACTCAAACATTCGTAGCTATCTCGACGATTACCTCAGTTATCTTTCTTGCAATGAACTTGAAATGATCTTTTTTGCAACTCTCGAAAGATTTCTTTTACATAGAGATCCAATAAATCTTTTAAACTTAAAGACTTTTTTCTCCTTTAATTTGTGTTTCCTCCACACAGCACGGAATACGCTGCTTCTTGTCACGGATCTTCTTAAATCAGTTCGAACTGACATTTGTTTGATTCATGCTTCTTCAACTCGTCGCACAATCGAATAGTAACGATTACTACTGGCCTAGATTTCTTTCAAAGAACGATCACATTGCTAATTTCTAGATTTAATTCAATTCTCGGCTTCTAACGTTCCTTTAAGATCTTAGTTTTTAAATCCAAGATCTATTTACTATATCTTTCTTACTATCCTTTCTATTTCCTTCTACTTCCGTCTACTTATCTCATTTATTTATCTATTATTTATTTTTCTATTCGTCTCACACAGTTGCGTATATTTAATTTTCTCAACAATCTTTCCTCTTGCGGGAAAACAAATTCGGTTTATGCAAAGATCTTTTATCGTCGCTCTTGCTCTTCAAAATGCAAATATCGAAACAGATTCTTATCGCGTCTCGTTGCATTCGTTATAAAATCACATGGAGAAATGTAACTAACTAGCCAAATAACATTTGCCCCTCCAACATCGTGATGACGACGACGACGACGACGACGACGACGACGACGACGACGACGACGACGACGACGACGACGACGACGACGACGACGACGACAACAACGACGACGACGACAACAATGATGATGATGACGTCGGCGTCGACAGCCTAAGTTCGAGAACGATCTTAAAAATCGTCATTTCACATTCTCATTCCTCAAAGTTCTCTCTTTCTCTAGCTCGATCTCTTTAAAAAAATGTAACGAGCTTAACGAAGTGATGACCGGCACGCAGCAGAGCACGATCCGAGCGAAGATGCGCGCCGGGCCAACCAACCGCGTTCTGGCAACGTGCCTTCCACCATCATCGATAGTCACGCGATAGCTCTTCGTGGTACTCTTCAGAGTATCGCGCCGGAGATCTTCCACCTGTTTCGGCTCGGTTGGCCGCAAAAGCCTGAGCTTGAATCTCCGCCAGCAAACAGGACACTACATTCTCTAATTTTCGAGCTCTCCGTCGAGTCTATACACAGATATGAGTGCACTTCTCGGAGAGACGGCTATCAATGACATTGCTCGTTGACAAGACTCAACGTGTTTCTATCGAGCCGAATCCAATCCTCACTACTAGTTCACATAACGAAACGAGTAACGAAACGTTATTTTTTTAATGATAATAAGAAAAAGTATTTTAAAGGCTAAAAATGATCACAATTAAGAAAATAAATCTAGAAATTTATGCGAGAGAACATTAGAAATTCTGTAAAATTTTTCTTATAACTTACTCTACTTCGTAGAGTAAGAGCTTTTTATGTAAGATATCAAGTATCGAGATATAAAGCTTTCTTCAAAGTGCCATCTTGTAAATGCCAATTGGCTAAGGACGAGAAGAATTTCGTTTCTTGCTTCTATAAAGCCTTCACTATTATTCGAGCACACAATCATAAACTCGGTCACATCCGTAAAGTTGAGATTCAGGTAGATGAAGCTCCGCCGAAGCCGATTATAAAATAGAGGAGAAAACGCTTACGAGTAAACATCAAACAGTCAACGAAAGAAGAGTGTCCGCAGCTTTCCAGCGTACTTTTTGAAAGCTCCACCGTGCTTCGCATCAGAACAAAAACAGATATTTGTCACTCGCTCGAGGGCCAAATACCGAGCGAGTTTCGTTCATTGAACACTTCGACCAGCACGCAATCTTTCTTCAATTGAGTACGCTCCGCATTTCGCGCAGCGTCTATCTTCATATGGTCCCGGACTCTTTCCGCGTTGAACTCTTCTGGCAATTGCCGCGGAGCACGAAATACGAAACTATCTTATCGACACGCGCAACTGCTTACGCAAGCATCGCGCGTTTTTCTCCCGCGACGCATCCGGACTATTAAGCTTAATCCGTTCCTTGCGACGCGCCGACCCGCTAACCCGGAAATTCCGGAAGCTCGCCAGTCGGTCGAAAACCTCCACGATGGAGTTCTTCTCGAGTAGGTAGCGCGTCTCCGCAAGCTCCGGCACTGAGACTCCCACGTCGATCTTCCCCCTCAGGCGTCCACCAGGACTATTCTCCGCAAGCTTGCGCGCACTATGTTCGGCTCAGAGAAACTCGATTCTCTCTCTCGCTCTCGCTCTCTCTCTCTCTCTCCCTCTCTCTCTCTCTCTCTCTCTCTCTCTCCCCCTTACTATCTCTCTATCCCTCTCTCTTTTTCTCTCGCTCTTTTTCTCTTTCGCTATGTACCCGATGCCACTTTATACGCGAGTAGTGCTCTCTCATTCGAGCTTTTCCACCGCTGCTCCTTCCGTTGCGAGATGCTTCTTCGTGTCGCGCGCGCGAATAGTGCGTACGCACGCGTGGCTGCGTGTATACGTGTATGCACCGACAACTTCCGTGCGTATACGTAATGGTTGTATCGTGTGAGTGTACGAGTATGTCACGCGTACGTGTGTATATATTGTATGAGCGCATGTAATATGCTTTTACGCACGCGATACCGACGCGTCGCGTCGCTAGCACCACGATCGGAGCACCAGCTCGATGAATTGGTCGCTCGTGACTACCGGAGCTTGGCCCGTGGCCCCGAGCTCGTGGTTCGTGGTAGTGGTGCGGTGGTGGCAATCGGCAGCCCGGCACCTCCAGAGAAGCGTGGCTCTCGTCGCCTCGCCAGAGAGAGCAGAGCGGCCGCGTCGCAGCAACGCCGTGCGAACGCGGAGCGGTCACCTAGCCAAGGTCTAAATTGATTTTTAC